TGCTGCTGCTGCTGCAGCTGCTGCAGCTGCTGCAGCTGCCTGGGCTGCTGCCACGGCCGCTCTCTCTGCCAGCGCTGCTGCCGGTGCTAATGCTGGTGCTGGCAATGCTTTCAATGCAAGCAATGCAAGCATTGCTGGCAGTGCTGGCAGTACGGGCAATGCTGGCAGTGCTGGAAGAACTGGGCTGGCTGTGCTGCTGTTGTACTAGCAGCGCTAGTGCTGATCGTCCAGAAAGGCGGGTGGCGTGCTCGCGGCAGTTGATGTGATAGTCGTGCCAGTTACCACTTTTTGGTCTTGAGTTGCCCTTCAATTCCAAATGTGCTTCGGTGCTCCTCAGTGTTTGTGCTGCGTGAACTCATTCTTCTGCATTCGCTCACTCCTACTCCTTGAAGGCTCTTCCATTCCTTCCTATTCTTGCTGCTCCCATGACAACAGCCATGTCGGCATAGCGCCACGAAAAGCGGCATGGCATGCCAAAACAGTACCGAACAGTGCCCAAACATGTCAACCGATGCTCCTGAGGACTCAGGTGCGGCTGCTCGTTCGGCTGCCTCGTTCAGTCATCGAAGGCAGAAGTTCGATGTGAATCGAGCATGTGACTCACTTCGGGTCATCAGAGTTGGAGATTGCAGAAGACGTGCTGCAAGAAGCTCAGACACTAGCATGCAGCAGATCAGATCAGTCAGAGAGATGTCCATTTTGCAGCTGAAGCGCGTGTGGATCCAGCCCAATGGCTCAAGGTCACGCAAGTGATCATGGTCGGGCAGCTGCTGCGGCAGAGTCACATTGCCTGTTGCACAGCGCGCACCAAAGCTCGGTCAAGTCTGAAGCTTCGCCCTTCGAATCCCGCCGTCACACAAACAGCCAAAACGCCAGAAACCCAGGAGCCCAGGAACCCTAAACCTTCAGAAACCAGGCTCCAGAGGTGCAGCCATGTGGCTGTGCGTGCCAACCTGAGGCACCATGACCATGCACCTGGCTCCAAGGAGGGCACTAAAACAGGCAGAAGAGTTCCTGCCAGTCTCATCTTTGTGTTCTCTCTGGTTGCAGGCAAGGCTCCGAATCTCCTTCACCTGGGGGTTGTCAGGAGGAGAAATGCCATAGAGGTAGGCGGCGATCTGCGTTCTCAGGTCCTGACACAAGAAAACAGAGTGCAGTCTCGC